AAGTAAAAGTAAAAGTAAAAGTAATAGTAATAGTAATAGTAGTAGTAGTAGTCGTCGTCGTCGTCGTCGTCGTCTTCGTCGTCGTAGTCGTAGTAAAAATAGTAATCCTAGAAGTACTAACAATACTAAGTAGCAGTGAAAGCAGTGGTAGTAGTAGTAGTAGTAGTAGCAGCAATTGCAGCCAAGACATCAACAGGCTATGAACAATGCACACTCAGGCAAGCTTTAGGTGATAAGCTTCAAGTAAGATGACGGCGGATCATGCTGTTTCGGAGAATGGCGAAGAACTCTTCCTGGCCACAGGGTGTTCTGTCCTCGTGATGAAAGTAAGACTTGTCTTTCGACACAGGTTGCAGTTTTGACATGCGGAAGTGCCTTCACGTATGAGCTTTCAGGGGTCCATCGAAAGTGCGGCGGATCGAAACCGTCTTCTTGGACTTGGAGGAGCATGTTTGCTTACCCGTGAAGCTGGGACTCAGGATTAGCTTCTAGGGCTCGAGACTTGTCCATTTAAAAAATTGGAAACATGCATTTAGACACCCTCAGTGTTCCCTGGAAGGCTTGCAGGAACGACCGCAGGAAACTCAAACCCCGCCGAAACCGGACTGCAGCTGGCAAAGAAGAGACGTATCAGTTACAGCCAGCACCTCTCGACAATCAGAAACAAACGGAAGCCACAAAGCCATCTGTTACGCTTGAAGAACTTGAAAAAATGAATCTGTGATCGGCCGTGTCCTCGATATCTGCGGGAGGCCTCTGCAGCATCTTTGCAGGTGGCTGCTTCGAGACATGTAGGTTCGGCGAATGGTTCGACATTGAGCACCTTCCACTCTCAAGCTGCCACGGGAAATTAGGTTCAGCACGCCTTGGAGCACCTGATGAAATCAACCCCCGAAGCTTAAACAATCAGCCTGGGGCCAAAACCTTAGGCTTCCAACCAGCTCGGCCCTGAAAGCAAAACTTTCGGCGGAAACATACACATGCTTAAACGATGCTATCTATATGTGTCGACCTAACTGCCTATCAATACGTCCAGGTTTGATCTCAGACCTGCTAGAACAAGACCAAGGCATGACTTCTGCGCACTGCCTCAGCGCCAGCTTTGACACCACGTCTGTGGCTTCTGCATTTGCTAGCCGGGCTCCGACTAAGCAGGCTGTCCTCGGCGGCGATTTGCAGCTCAAGGCGTCGAAGCTCGGGAACTGCGGTGTTGAGGTCTGGGATGTACTCATCCCAGGGCCGCAATTTGCAACTAAATTGTGGAGACTTCCATGTTGGGTCCAACTACAAGAGTCTCGACTAAAGTATTTCTGAACCACGGCTATCGTGGATGTTCCTGCATCGCAGGAATATGATGACATGATGTGGAGACCCGAAACCATGTTCCAATCGTGTCCGTGCCTCTAGGCAACAACCCTTGAACATGCTGTGGCCACCGATACCAGGACCAACGTGTGCTTGGCAGGCCCTCCTTCCTTGCTGTGGTAATGAATACAAGTTAGCCGCTCGATTACAGCTACTTTGGGACTATCAAGTGTGTAGTTTTGTGCAACATGTCTCGCAAAACAGTTGAAATCGAGGAAGCTACATATGCGGAACATGCCTGCGCACCTAACAGCGACTCGTGTACGAGCTAGTCATGAACCAACAACGACAGACTCCCCGCAAACTCCCGAACCGTGGCAGCATCAAGCTGCAGTACGCAGTGTAAAGGAACTTCAAGTTAGCCAGGCTAATTCTGCTTTACATACAGAGCTCTCGGCATGAGTCCCTCGAAATCGGAAAAAAGGTCCTGCAGCCGCCCGAAACCCGTAAGCCAAAACCGCGCCTCCGGCCAGAATTTGTTGGACCGATGCAAAGCATATGGCCTGAAGGCATCAGCAGCACACCTCGGGTCAGGTACATGCTGCTCAGATTGTCAAGACCTGCTGCTCAGGGCAGATCAGAAAATCATCGAACCGAGCCGGCTTTCAGATTTCGTTGAGACGTTGCCTGGACACCATGAGCTCCAGACCTGGACAAAGCACAAACCCCGGAACAAGCGCTGTACCCATGAGGGCCTGACACCGTTGCTAAACCCGGGCCTGAACCTGGTTGCAGTCATGGTGCGAGCCACCCGCAGCGCATGCTGCAAGAGGTCGCCGAAAGGCCGCAACGGTATTGCAACGCCTGCTTTTCTGCAATGTAACAATGTAGTCTCGATTTCCGGCTTTCGGTCATCATACATAGCCCAATAGATATAGACACTCACAGACCACCTACTGAAACAACACAAATCAAGCACCAGCCACCAGCCACCAGCCACCAGCATTAGCAGCAGCAACAGCAGCAGCAGCAACAGCAGCAGCAGCAACAGAAACAAACAGCAATAACAAAAACACAAACCGCAGCAACAGCAACAGCAACGACAACGCCAACGCAGCGGCAACGGCAGCGGCAACGGCGGCAGCAGCAACAGCAACGGCGACGACGACGACGACTAAAACACCACAACCACCATCACCATCACCAACAACCACGCCAAAACCGTCACCACCACCAACAACAACAACAGCAACAACAGCGGTAGCAGCCGGACGACGACGACGACGACGACAACAGCAAGAGCAAGAGCAAGAGCAAGAACAAGAGCAATAGCAGCAACAATAAGAACCACCACAACGACAACCGCGCATTCCCACTGTAGTACTATGATCTTCGAACGCACATGCACGGTGTATGTGTATGTGTGCATGCGAATATATATATATATATATGTATATATAGTGTATATATAGTATATAATATATAGAATAATAATACTAATAATAAAAATACTAATAATAATAACTATTGTTATTATTATTGTTATTATTATTATTTTTATCATTGATATTATTGATATTATTGGTATTATTATTATTATTTATATTATATTATATTATATTATATTATATTATATTATATTATATTATATTATATTATATTATATTATATTATATTATATTATATTATATTATATATATTATAATATTATATATATTATAATATATATATATAATTATATATATATATATATATATTGTATATACTATATTATATTATACTATAATATATTACATTACACTAAAATGCATTACAATACATTACATTACGTTATGCTATATTACCTTATAAAATAAAATATAACATAATATAATATAATAT